CATTCGCTGTTATTACTCAACATCCATTTCATTTCAACTTAATATACTAATCTATTCTAGAAACATACAGAGGTCCGAAAGTAATGGTTTATCGTGCTACTGTATGAACCAAACTTTACCATTACTAACCCATGACCTCTTTTTTGTCTTTGGTTATGCGATAATAAACAGAAAGAGACAAAAATTTTTTTTGCATAATCCGAGATAATAGTAAAAATTATAATTTATGTAACTCTTTGTATAAATCATATAGCTGTTTTCTCTGTAGATTACGAGTTAGAAATGAAACAATCACCTAATTCAATGAATACCGTACATGATAAAATTCTACGAGTCATCTGGCCATATTCAATGCCAGTTCAATATTGTCATCTATTGATAAATAAAATACATTCAATAAAAGATTTAATAGTAATATGAGTTAGAAAAAATTTTAGTGCTTTTTATGTAGCTGATGATTTTAATTTAAAAAGCTGTTTTTCAAAACTAGACTTTTAAATAATCAACAATGTCAGATTTTAGTTTTTATTTCAATTCCAAAACCATTGCTGATGTTGAAAAATGCTCTCTTGCTCATCAAAATGGTTTTTTTTGTTTTACAACCATCTTGTCACGAAAATTCTGTTAATATAATTTTTTTCAACATTTTCAAGAATTAGAGATAGCCAGTAAGTTATTTTGGCTTGAAATCAACAACATATGAGTGCGGATATAGGCATGACGCGAAAAGAATATGCACACCCACACCCAAATTTTACTGAGATATCTTGTCTGAAGTTCAAACAATGTTTTATAGAACAAATCATTTATAAAAAAATTTCGAATACTGAAAAACAAAAATGATGCATTTTGATTTTGACATTCATGCAGATGATTTCTATTAAGCAAATATAGATTAATATTACATACTTAGTGATAACTCTGAAAGAATACTTGACATGCAATCCAATTACAAATTCAAAGCCTCTTAGATACTAGCTTAGAACTTAACAAGAACCTTGAAAAACATATAAACAATTTGTGTACGACGTAGAAATTATTCACTTAATCTTATAATGCAATCCTATATAAAATCTATTTGTTCAATCATTTCAGATTAAATCAAATAAGATTTTATAAAGAATTAATTTTTGTATTATCTAACGGGAAAATTAATACAATCTATTATTTCTTCGTTTGAATATTTGCAAGAAAAAAAAACAAATGTTTCACAAATTTTGCTATAACTCAACAAATATTCATGTTTGTCTTTTTTTTCTCAGTTTTTTCCTATTCTTTTGTTTATTTTCTTCTTATGATAGTAGCATTAACCGTTTAATAGTTATTAACATAAAAAATATCACTTCATTTGCATTTTTTTAAATAGTACATAGAAGAACAAATATGAAATGACAAGTAGAAGTAGAATAGAACGAAACAAAATTAAATCTCACATCATTTCGCGGTTCTATCTATTTTCTCTTCCTTCTTCATTCGTTTTTTTAGATCTATTCCCCTAATGCGTCGTGTCTAGGTTGAATAAAATACAATGATCGAGTTGATACTGCCGCCTTAGTTTGTCTTGTCCCTGTCACATCTGGAAATGCCATCCCTTCGTTTTCCTTTTCTTGATTCCAGGATTTCTTCTTTTTTCTGCTTACTATAATAAGATTTTCTTAACCAAGCAGACATAGAACACTTTTTTCAGGAAACATTGAACTTTGTACAAGTAAATATTGGATTATACATCGTCAGTGAATTGAAATTGAGATTCTTCGTGACAAGTAAAGAAGTACTCTATGAAAAATCTGAGTCAGATTAACTAGAATCTGTCAAAATTTTTCTTCGTCTTCTGCGTCTATATTTACATGCCTATTAAACATTTTCAACAATATAGAATGTCACAATGTAATATCAATTTTTTTTTGTGTAACATTTCTGCTTTGCTATTAAACGTTTTTTAGATAAATCAGATTAGTACCTTTTTTCGAAAGGTTACATTTCGATGAACATAAACGCTTGCATGTTTTTTTTTACACAAGTTGCGAATCTTTTTTCTGATCTCCACCACTACTATACTTAGTAGAATGTAAGTTCGATAGAAGAGACGCTAACTCTATTTCATCTAAATGGTATTGAAAAACTTGTATTCTCTCATTTTTAACTTCTAGATGAGAATTTTATCAAAAAAAAAATGTTGAGTCCACTCTAGAATGAAAACATTCCGTACCATCTATGAATCTGTGTATATTTGAAATCTATCAATATCATAATTCGCTACAATAAATGAAAAGTTTTATCACTCCAGAACTTTCAAATATGATTTAATTAAAAATAGACGACGCTAGTTGTCGAATATTACAAAAATTATTGTTTCTACAACGGTTTCAAACTGTTGTTTTTTTTCGGTTACAGGGTTAAGAAATTTATAATAAATGATTCAAATTCAATTCAAGTATCTATTTTCGTTAATTTTTCGAATCATCTGTCCGTAATCACTATTCGACTGGATTACCTTTGATTGGTTGCAGATTAACCTTCAATATGCTGAATAGACAAACAAATTTATGTCGTTTGTTTTTTATTAGTATTTATTTTGAATAGAAGCAATTGATAAAATAAATAATTTCATGTCGACCATATTGTTACATTCTCGTTTATCATCTCTGATAGTTTTTACAAAAAGTTCAGTAGTTATTCAATCTAGTTTTGATTTCGATGCACTGTAACATGCCACACAAAACCACATGTATAGTATCTTGGTTCAGAACAGGTCACCAAATCCGGCAAGATCCTTCTATTTGAATATTTTTCTCTTTAAAAAAAACAACTTCAGAGCAAAACGAGCAGTGTCGATCAAGCCAAACAAATTTTTGAAAAAATTCTTCAACCAAATCATATTGGATACACAACAATGAGTCTGTTCTGTTTACTTTTCTTTTCAAACAAAAATATCCTATTTTTTGTTAATAATTAGTTAATTGTTATGGTTTGAATGGAGTGGGTATTCAAGCAATTGAACTTTATCATGAAATGCCATCAGAATTAATTAATGAAGTAACACATATTTGTGTTCTAAATGCATGTTCACTTTCAAGACTGGTGGATGAAGCTCGTTCAATCTTCAAAAATATTCAAAACAAAACAGAGAAAGTTCATGGCGCTATGGTATATGAGAAAGATTGTTTTTAGAAATTTGAATAATTTTCTATTCATGTATTAATTTAGATCAATTATCTTAGTCACGCATCTTTTCTTTTTGAAGAAGATCAAGAATTAATTGATGAATATGAACGTTATCATTCACCTGTATCATTCGTGTATTGTGAGTATCTTTCGATTAATTGATAAATATCATAATTATAAATCAATCATTTTCTATTGATTTTTAATTGAAGAAGGATTCAGACCACATATTTAATCTATTGTTCTTTGATATTTAGTCAATTGAATAGAAAACTTTCTTATTTTATTATTATGTACATTGATTTTATTAAATATCTATGAGTGTATTTTACAATGCACAACAAATCAAGATAAAATTGTTTCGATCGAAAGTTTT